GCGACAGAAGGAGTGGGAGAGGAAAGGGAGCGAGAAAAGACGGCAGTGCTCGTGATGGTGACAGCCAAGAAACCTAAGGCGAGCGGCGTCCCTCCACCCGAGGAGCGGGCTGGGGTCGAGGGTTTAAAATCCTCAGCCACCGCGTTTTTCGTTTGCGGTCGTTCCCGTTGCTTCGCCCGCGTAGCAATGGACTTTTTTTCCGAGTCTGAAAATGCGGCTGGATCCTTTCCCTTCGGGAATTAAGGCGAGGAAAATTACTTTATTTTCTAGCACTCCCTTCTTTCAGAGGGAACGTTTTCCACGGACCACTGAGGTTTTTCCCCTAAGTAACTTTATTTCACATAAGTAACTTTATTCCCGCCCCTCCCTGACGAAGACTGCTCTTTGGGAGCTGGGTAATGCAAATACAGAGCGATCAAAATTGTGACCCAAAAAAATTCAGTCGAGAAACGAAGAGGCTAGAGTTCCGTGCTTCTGCAAGTGAAAATAGGATTTCCCAAGAGGCAGAAATGGACACAATACACCTCGGCGCGTTCAGCACCGTTCAGGGGAAATTAATACTGGTGAATTTAAAATTATTTTGCCAAGGAAGAAAAATATTAAAGGCATGTGGGATAACATTAGTTCCCACTAATGTGTACTGATCGAAATCTAACTGTATGCAGAACATATGGCCGAAACTAGTTTCCTAAAAGGGGAAATACTTTTCCCTTTCTCTAAGAAGCGGGTGTTTGCAATAAATACTGACAGTATTCGTGTATATAATAAACACGGGCATCTACTCACGGTAGGCACACGGACCAGCTGCCGGCCACCGGTTCGGCACGGAAAAACCCTGCCCTCGCAGGCCTTGGGGACAAAGGCCACAGGGCGAGTGGCGCAGGCGGGCAGCTCGGGCGGGCAGCTGGGCGGGCCGGCGGGGGCCCGGCGCCCGGCTCCGAGCTCCGCTGCAGCCCAGACAGGGCACCAATGCTCCGCTTCGCCCCGTGGGCTGCGGGCACCCGCGAGGAAGGAGGGAGGGTTTCTTCCCGGGAAAGCTTGTCCTCCCCGGGCGGCACTGTCGGGAGAGAGGGGAGAAGGAAGCGCATCCCCCGACGGCAGGTATTATTAATCTCAAAAGAAAGCCTGGCTACTGTTTGACTTACAAGCATGACTAAAAGGCAAATACCCAAGGAATTCCACTTTCCCCCTTGGGGTCCCTCTTAAAAGGCACAAGCATGACAAAGGACCTGCAAGGTTAGGAAATAGAAGTCGCCTTTGCCTGTAAACCGACACCAAATTACAAGGTACGATTCTGCGGTCCGCTGGAGTAAATTACAAAACAATTCGCCTCCTGTTTACTTTATCCACAGGGAGCTGTGAAACCCAGCCACGATTTTAAAGTGTGTTTGTATAACTTTCTTCTGCTCCTGTTGTTTGCTCTCGGCTTCGCAGCGCTTTCGAGCTCCCCTCCAGCCACTCCTCTCTCTCCCATCTGGAAGAAGAGGTGTCTCTGTCGTCCTGCGGCGGGACGCACCCGCGGGAGAAGGCGGAAAGCGATCTAAGCAAGGCACTGCCTCTCCAGCTCAGTCCTCCGCTTCGGTTTCGTGATGTCAGCCATGCCCGCTGAGCTGACACGGGCAGATGCGGCGCTGTGCCGTGCTGGGAAAGGTGCTGATTCCCACGCAGGGGAGTCTTTGAAGCCCGCGATGTGCAGCTGTGCATCTACCGCTCCCGCACAGCCTTCCCAGCACAACTCCCCTTCTTTGCGTCAGCCCTGGTGCCTGCGGGGCCCGGGCCGAGACCCCCGCCCGGGGCTGCTGAGGTGCCCCGGGGCTCCTGCGGAGCCTCCGCCGCGCACCCTCGCCCTTGCCTACCCCCCCGTGCGTTGCCGTCGGGGTCCTCCCGGAGCTGCGCTGCCCAAGGCGGGGTGGGGGTGTGCCAGACCCTGACGAGAGCCGGGGATGAGTCCTAAGGCCTCGCAGGCGGCGGCGGGGGCTCTGCTTCTTGCGGCAGAGCCCTTCCCCAGGAGCGCGCTCGCCCCGCCCCAAGGCAATCGGCCCCGGAGCGCCCAGCGCTCCGTCCTGCTTTGCATCACGGCTCTGCAGGCAGGTGCAGGTGCAAGTGCCGCAGTCCCCCGCGCCTGGCCTCCCCAGCCCTCCCTTCCCCCGGGGAAATTTATTAGCGAGGTTAGGGCAGGCTAACCAAACGGCAACTCCGGGCGCAATTTCCCCGGAGGAATGCTTTGATCCTGCCCTCTCTCCCTGCCGTCGAGGGCAGATTGCAATGACAAACGCGGGCGATCCCAGCTCCGCCCGCCGGCCCCTTGCTCGCCCTCTCCGGGCGCCGGTGCCCGGGCGGGGCTCCCGCCGTGCCTGCGCGGCCGCGCCCGCACCCGGACCAGGACCGGGCCCGACCGGAGCGCTTCTCCGCCGCGCGTTACCGCCTGCTTGCCGCAGCGAAGATGCTGACACTTCGCCGGTGATCCCAACTGCGGGAAGTAGGGGAATGGGATAGGGAAAAAAATTAAAATAAAAAGAAATAAAAAGCACGAAGATACCACCTTTTCCCGTGTTATCTAATCGGTACAAACCACCATTTCTTTTGCAGTTTTGGTTTTTTTTTCAATAAAAAGGGGAATTTAAAAAAAAGGGGAAAAAAACCCATCTGTCTCTTGTAAATAGCATTTAAGTAAACCCTAGCAATAAAATAAACCTGGGTAAGATTTTTATTCGTGACATAGACCTTTCTAAATTGATTGTATATTTTAAATAAGTTTAACTCATTGAACGTTTTAAATAAGCAAGTTTTTTCAGTTTGGATATTTTTTTTTCCTGGGGCTTTGTGGGTTTTTCGTTTTATTTTAAATGACCATTTCATTTCTGCCTAACAGATGTGTAGGTGCAGAGTCACAGGATGGATTTTCTGTTATTCCTATATGCCATTCAAATACATATAATAAATACGTATTATAAGAAGGTAAGATATGTTGAGGTAATGTATTCTCTATAGCATGATATGGAAGAAAATATTTTTTGAACATGACAGTAATACTACTGCCTTTGTTTGCTTTGACAAGGAGGGCAAGGGTTAGCCTCTTTATAGGAAGACTTGCTTATCATACCAGGATAATCTTATTTCCTACTAAACTGGAATGATATCAAAAGCGGTTCAGATGAAAAGAGCAGAACTGCCATTTCTGACACAACTAGTGAAAGTCGGGCAGGCAGTCCAGAGTCTTCAATGGAAGGATTCACATGGACCCAGACAGCTTTGGATTCAGCACGGGGTGCCACAGAGTTTCCCATCTACAACGCTTCTCACCCTGGCAGCTGAAGGGATGAGCTCCCATGAAGGGAGAGGAATAAACTATAAGAGAAGGACAATTTAGCCCTCAGTGGTTGGAGACTCTGCCTGTTCACTGGGGATGTACCAAGGGGGCATAATTTGGCCTCTGAAAACAGGACCACACAGTCCTGGCAGTCAGTCATTGAAGCAAGAAGAAACACAGCTTAGTAAAATAGAATTACCTTTTCTGCAGCCTCCAGATTCATGGCCAGGGGATATGAGGGCAGACCTAGATAGACTTTAAGTCAAAACTAGTCCAAACACATCCCCATCCAATTCTGTGCTAAAATTTTGAATTTAAAAAAAAAAAAAAAAAAAAAAAAGGCATGAGGAGTGTTTGTGTGCCATTCATAGCAGCTTTGCTGTGACTCATAAACAAGGTTGACCTTTGGTTTGTCAGCATTTAACAGGCCAGTAGACATTTGGCAGGTCTCTTGCTAAAATGTGCTACAAAGTTGGATCAGCTCTCAGCATGAATATCAAGAATCTACTATGCAAGCAGTGAGCACAGCAAATTGTCAAGTCAGCAACTAATATACTTCACTATAACCTTCCCAAATGTCTTAAGTAGTTTGGCAAATCTCTTGTTGCAATAAATTCTAGTGAAGTTTTGGGGTTTCATCTTTTTTCAACATATGGCCTTAAAAAGTAACTTAGCCAAGAGTATTTTTAGCGTCAATGCAAAGTTTGCTGGAGATGTTTTCTCAAATTTGTTTGCACTCTGGCAGTTTTATTCAAATGTCAACCAGATGCAGAAAGTGTAGAGGCTGGGGTTTTATTTTACAGTCCTGGAAACTAAATGTCAAGTCTCTGCAACATAAATTGTCTTTTGGATTGCCATATTTTAGCAGAACAGCAAAAGTCTTACTAATAAACAGGTTTGTGGTGTTTTGTTTTGTTTTTCTTCCTTCAGGATGCAACATAATTGTATGCAAAATCATCTCTGAGCAGACTTACTGAAATTATTAGGATGACCTGAGGTAGTGGTCAGCATGAAAAACAGCATCAAAATCTGGCAATATATCAGTTAAAGCAAGCCAGCCAGCTAGCCAGACTCGGGCCAAATGAATCCATGTGGGTTTCCAGGCCACACCTATTACACTCCAATTAGCAAGAAAGCTTGTAGAGCCATTTTTAGATTGGGCTGTTGTACCATACTAATACAAGTATCAGACTCTGCCGTAGTGTGGATCCACTATGGAATACACAGTTGCCTGAGGTGGTAGAGGGAGAGGATGTGAATCTCAGCACTCACAGCATGGCAGAGTGA